TGTGGCTGGCGCCTTAGCTGCTTGAGCCACAGGCGCCGAGCCGTTACCTTGTTTTTAATTCCTATAAAAGCTTAGCTCATTTAAAATATCAGAGGAGAAACCTTGCTGTTTTGGCGGGGAGATTGCACATAAACTGGAAGCAGATCACCGTTCAGCACACCTAGTGTCCTCACACACAAAACATTCAAGTCAAACCCAGAGAGATTTGGATGCTTTGTCTTCTTTTTTTTGGCATTAGCTTGTACTCATTACATTGTTTAATACTCGACTATCATTCAAAGGAATAATTAGGACAGAGATTGGACAGTAAAAGGCTCAAAACATTTAGTTGTGAAGAGCAACGGTTATTCAGTAACTCTGAAAAACATCTCTACTTTTGGCAGAAAATTCCCTTTGGCAACTTGAAGGATCATTTTTTTTTTCCCTTCAAAGCCTCAGAAATGGTAAAGTTGTGCTGAATGGATGTCTTCAGTATCTACAACCAGGAAAAAATGTGTTCCTCTGAAATACGGTGAAAAGTCTTTAGAAAACTGGTTTAGGATGGATTTCAGCAGCTCTCTTTTCTCACACCACAAAAAGCCTTTAGTTTGTTATCACATCTTCAAGTGAGATCAGCTTGTAGCAGTTTCAGTTCCATTGCAGGGGTTACCTGTCTTCAGTTATAAAGCAGCAACAGAAAAGAGCTTTACAACTGGTCACAGAAATCATTGGCATTTGTTAAGGTATTCTGAGCATTAATTAACTCCCTTAAATAGTGGTAAGGAAGCCGAAGTCTTTAAATGATTCAAGCTGAGAAGAATGGTACCCCTCTTTTGTGATGTATTTATTGATAGGCATTCACTTTGATGAGGTTATGATAGGTCAAGTCCTGCAATGGTGCTTGTTCTTTGTTACTGAGCACAAAGCAAGTTCTTAGGGAACTCTCCGAGAGTTGAGAATATGATTTGATATCCAAATAGATATTTTGTTTCCTTAAAGAGACTGTTTCATATGTAAATGTTTCCTGTGATCTTACTTGTGCCTCACTTGGTCTCATTCCTTGCCATTAGTTTTCTCCTTTGCATTTTAAATTTTAATGAAAATGGAACCGTCCCGCTCTCATGTCCAGCCTAGCCATGTTTTGCTACTCACACTCTCCCCTCTGCTAGGCATTTCCTACTCTATCATGTTGCTAACTCCTGCTGATGTTACTCCAAAACTAAGCTCAGTACCACCTTCTCCAAGAATCTATTTCCAACCAGCAGGTAGGGACGAGGTTGGACTTTGACACCCTGCAGCTCTCTGCCCAGTTTTTCTGTCACCATGGACCATGTTAATGTGTCCGTCTAAGTTGCTGAATCAGCTTTTCCAGTATAATAGTGCTTGGGTTCAAGAAACCCTTATTTTACTCAATAATACTTTACAACTAATAATTATAAGTTGCTGTTAATCTCGTACTGTACCTAATTTATAAATTCATCTTTATAATTTATAAAGTAAGTCTGTTTGGTACTATCTACTGTTTCAGGCATTCATTAGAGGACTTGGAACATCCCCTGAGGGTGGGTTGGGGGTTACCATATTTGAGAACAGGACCATGACTGCTTGAATCTTCTAGTGCTTTATGTGATTAATTAGTTACTCACTGGAGTACATCCATCAGTGAATACAATAGCTTTACTGCCTTCTGGGACTTTTAAGTTTATTAAGAAGACAAATATACGAATACATATATGATTTTAAGGCAATACAAGAACATACAACAGAATGTCATACTTTAGACTTGGAATCAGGGAAATCTTTGAGAAAAGGAAAACAAATTTGAGAACTAAAATATGAGTGGGAGTTACCCAGGCAAAGCTTGTATACATTCCAAGCCTAAGAAGGAACACTGATTCAAGGCCTTGTGCACAAACCTGTATTATGCTTTCTAAAATACTCACAGTAATTTATTGAAGAATAGCATACCTACAACAAAATGTACCAAACTTAAGGATCCAGCTTTAAATATTAACATATGTATACATTCATATAACCCCCACTTAAGTCAAGATAGAAAGCTTTTTTTATCTCCCCCTAAATTTCTCTTATGCCCTATGCTAGACAATCCCACATGGGAGGTAGGAGATGAGAATACAGAAGTAGGCGAGGGCAGACCATGGAGAGACCCCAGATCTAGATTTGGACATTTGGACTGGGTGTAATGATCAGCTGTTGATCATTAGCGAGAGGGTGACATGATCTGATTAATGTATCGAATTAACAGCTGTACCAATTGTAGGAGGTTAAGAGGAAATAAGAGTAGGCACAGTGGCTCACGCCTGTAATCCCAGCACTTTAGGAGGCTGAGGCTGGAGGATCACTTGAGGTCAGTTATTCAGGACCAGCCTGAGCAAGAGGAAGATCCCATATCTACAAAAAATAGAAAAATTAGTAGGTACGGTGATGTGCACCTGTAGTCCCTGCTATTTGGGAAGCTGAGGCTCATAGCTACTCAATAAACATTTATTAAAATGAGCTGTATTATTTTAGAAAAGAACACCATTTAAAAGTTAAGAAGTTAGGGTTGCATTTAAACAGTTAATGTTACTAAAGGCCATAGAGATAGTTCCCTAATTTTAGATGGTATTTATTATTTTCTAGTAGTATACCTAATTATTTGATTTTATTTTTCTACCTACAAAGGGAATATTGCTTGGAATTTTCTATAAAACCTAGCCTAATATTTGCCCTTGACTGTAAAATAATTTTTACTATTTCTTTATAGTAAAAATATTGCACTGAGCTTAAAATAATCACTACGCATAGAAATTTCTATATTGACTTATTCATATGCTTACTATATGACTCACTTTGCCAGCAAAAAAAAATCCCAACCCAGTATATATAATAAATGCTGTATTCCAAAGAGATATGTTATTAAACACTTCTAGTCTGTGTGTAAAACTGATTTAAGCAAACTAATCCTGTGCTAAAAATCTTGAATGACATTTACATATTACTTACAGAAATATCCTATCATTTGCCAAAATTATATATTTGTTTGGTTTTCCTTTTTTGAACAAAGCCATTTCTGCAAATAGTGTAAGCAACTTATATCTGTTTGTTTCCACATTTGGAAAATGTAATGCTTATTTCAGATTTTTTTTTATCTAATTGGTAAAGCAGAATGATAAAAAGTGATAAAGTTACTGTATTGGTTTTCTAGGGTTTCTGTAAGGAAGAGCCAGAAGCCGGGTAATTTAAGACAACAGAAACTATTATCTCATGTGGTGATGGAAAACATAGAAATGTATTGTCTCACAGTTCTGGAGGCCAGAAGTCCAAAATCAAGGCAGTACCACACTACCTCTGAGTCTGGGAAGAGTCCTATCTTGTCCCCTCCCAGCTTCCCAACATTGGCTAGCCGTCTTGGGTGTGCTTTGGCCTCCATGTGCATCACTTGGATCCTCTGTCTCCCGTGTCCCTGGCTCTTCACACAGTGTTTCCTTCATAACAGCTTCAGTCATGTTGGATTTGGGGCCCAACCTACTCCAGAGTCACCTCATCTTACCTAATTGAATCTGTAACAGCTTTATTTCTAAATATAGTCTGAGATACTGGGAATTAGGACGTCAATACATCTGTTTAGAGAGTAGAGGGAGACACAATTCAATCCATAGCAGCTACCAAAATCGATAAAAATAAAATCTCCGGCCACTTGGAAATTACCTGCCAGACAATCTTCTCTATTTTCTACATATGTTATCTTTACTGCATGTGGAGAAGTAACTAGAGATATGAAAAGCTTTGTGTGTGCGAGTACATGCATGTGTGTGTGTGCCTACACATGTGTGCACTTGCTTCTACAGACACAGAATGGGCCCCAGCACTGATAACTCATGGAGAATTATGCAAATGGTATTTTCCATTTCCATGACTAGTTTGTTCCTTTTATTGAGGCAGGTATATAGTCTTTGGCAAAATTTTCTTAAAATAAGCTATCCCTTTTTGTTTGATAGATGGCTTTTGTTTATACATCCTGGATAAGATAGGTTACCAAACACCAGAGTGCTCAAGAATTTGGTTTTGGGTGGATTGTAACTGCTTCTTCCTTACCCTCAGGAAAATGCATCATTTGTTATGAATTTCTCTACTCTAGACAGGTGATCAGAATAATTCAGTTGCTCTAGTTTTAAATTTCCTTAGTAGCCTGATTTTTTCCACTTAATTCTTTGGTCATTCAACAATAGTCAGCTAGAATTTAATGCACATCCAGTGAACATCAGGCACAAGGAAACAGAAAAACTACAATCTCCACACTCACAGATCTCTCCCTCAATAACCAAATTAAAGAGTTCTTTTCTTGGCTGCATTTCTAATAACTTGCAGATTGTATTATGTCATATTCAAATATAAAAGTGAGTTAGACAAAGGAGATGAAGAAATGTGCCAGGGAGATGTTAAAATTATTCATGTAAAAGTATTTTCCTTTTTGCTTTTGTGACTTACATTTGTTTTTCATTTATTTTTCTTTCAGCTGAAAGAGACATCAGTGTCTACTGTGGGGTGCAGGCCATTACCATGAAGATTAATTTCTGCACGGTTCTTTTCTCGGGTTATTCAGAAACTGATCTGGCACTGAATGGAAGGCATGGGGACTCCCACTGCAGGGGGTTCATCAATAACAACACCTTCCCAGCAGTGGTCATTTTCATCATCAATCTTAGCACCTTGGAGGGCTGTGGAAACACCTTGGTGGTAAGATTAGTGTGAAATTGTGAGCTAGGCTTAGGGTCATAAATTAAAAAATCCCACCATTTCATGAAATAAAAAGAGAAACCCAATGTATCTCTTAAGAAAATTTCCAATAAAACTGGACAAATCACTTCTTCTTGCCTGTTTGAGACTTGAATTCCCAAATATACAATTTCATCCTCCAGTAATTGTTCTGTGTATAGTAGCTGGGCTTGAGGTCAGCTGGGCTTTTGGGAATGTTGTAGATGGACATGTCTCTACAGTTTATCCTTAGCCATATTTCTCATGCCTTGGACAGAAGTGTCTGATTGGTCTATGCTTGTCACAGTGAGTCTAGCCATGAACTGCTTGGCCTGTCACTGTAGTGACCTCATTTAGACACAAAGGCAAAAGAATGGGAACTTGGATTCTTCCTTCCGATTTACTGTTGAATGATCAGCACCAGTGCCTTGTAAAAGAGGGCTTGTCAGTGTTCTGGTATAAAATTCTTCATTGCATGGGACTGTGCTTTGCATTTCAAAATGTTTACTCTACTCTATTGTACCCATGACGTCCCAGTAGCAACAGTCTTTAGTCATTGTGAAAATTAAAACACCACTTCAAACATTTCCTCTCCAAATGAAAACTACTGAACTATTAGTCGATACCTTTTATTTATTTATTAATGTACTGAATACCAAAAATAGAATTGAATAAGGAAATGACTTTCCAGTGAATCAAAATTAATTGAAGTGAATATGTTGTGATTTGGGGGAGGTATTAGTTACACTGGAATTCACTTAATACTATTTTTTACTTTGCTTATTTGAATATAATCTTACTGGCAAATCTGAGTGGAGATAAAAAAGAGATACACTGAGCATCACCAGAGAAGGAAAAATTGGATTTTACTCTTCATCAGTTTTTGTTTCGTATTGTGAAGGAAAGGTTGACTGTTCTGAGGGCAGGGTTTCTAAGACTTGGTAGGTTACAGAAGACAGAGAAACGAGATTTCTTTGAATCTTCTTCTTTAGCTTTTCTTAGAGGGTGGTTGGAATATTGTGCCCATCTGACTGTTTCCAAGCCTGCAGCTTGGGTATTGTTGATTCATTTTATTAAAAACATTTATTTAGCTCTCTGAGTTGTGTGCAGAGAGGTTATAAAGTGGGTCTAGGGGAGAGTGATGCAGGTTGACTATTCCACATCTCAGGTCCCAGTTCCTTGCAGAGGAGGAGCCTGTGTGGAGATCAGCGTTTTTTCCCCTTCCCCCACCATGCCTGGGGGCCTTTTGTTTCCTGTCCTTTCCTTTCCAATCTGGATTTAAGGCACCTTGCCCTGCTGCCTAGGAAACAATTCAGGAGAAAATCCAGGAAAATTGTCTCTCTCTGTGTGCTTGCTTTTTGCCTTTTTAAAAGAGTGAAATAACTCTAGTATAGAAATTGTTATATGAATGTGTATATTTTCTTTTCATAGACAGAATTGGTCTGTTTAGCTATCAAGTCAGGGAAGCTGTGGGAAGAGATTTCCTTCTTTTTTTTTTTTTTTTTTTGCTCTAGTTGCCACCAGCTTTGGCATCTGCTCCAAGGACATTCCTACATGGAAAAAATTAGGTAGACTGTTAAATCACTGGATTAGAATTAAAATGTTTTCATTTATAAATATTCCTGCTGTATTCATGAATTAGGTGGATAATTGCCTCAGGTACTATTAGGTTCATACATAAACTTTATTCCGTTGTTAAAAACTATTACAGGTTTTAGAAATGTCTGCTAAAAATGTTTATTGAGTGCTATATTGTATTTGACACGGTAGGAGAAGCTGCATCCCTCTTGGGTCTTATGAAGGCCAAGAACATTATTGATTATACCTAAAATGGTGGTTCTTCCATTTTAGTAAGATTGGAGAATCCAAGGAAAGCTGACCCAAGAAAATACACACGTACACTTTCCTAGAATGTTTGGAAGTTCATGATCTCTCTGAAACCCATCTGTAAACTACTGCCCTAGAAGTAGATGAGTATATTCATGAAACAGAGAGGAAGAACCTGAGAAGAACAATCCTCAGAAAATTTATGACTTTCATTCATTTGTTCAAAAATTATTTCTGGGGCCCAAGACGCTGGTTATTATGCTGTGCCGAGAATGCTGAGGTGAACAGGATGCCCGTGGTGGCTGAAGGGATGGCTGCTCATGCTGTGCCTACCATGGTGACATAGAGGAATGGTACACATGGGCATGGAAGGAGGGGAGGTTTCCCAGGGAAGGTGAGATCCTGGGGAGTAGGTGGATACATCATGGGGAAGTAGGGAGAGCCATGGCTTAAGAGGTGTGCACAAAGGCCAGAGCAATGAGGCCCTGGGGCAGAAGCATTATTGTGGATGGCAGGAGCCTGGAGGTCCAAAGCAAAGGGAAACCAGAGTCAGATTAACTGGGCTTTTTCAGCCATATCAGAGAATTTGGACTTTATCCATGAGTGCTTCCAAGGAACTTGTTGTAACCCATTGAACCTATAATTTTTCTCCTTTCTTATTTATAATGTATCTTTGGTAAATATAAAGTTTCATTTGATCAAAGAAACATATTCATGTTTAATAGCATTTTGTGTTTATGATTTCAGAACCATCACATGTTACAGAAGAACTAGACCTTAGAAATGATCTTACCTAATGTTTACTCTGCATATGAAACACTTAGATTTATATGTAGCCATTTAAGCATTAAACTTGATCTGTCGCTCTAACAGGTATCCACAATTCCTGGAGTCAGTGCGTATGGAAATGCAACTTCTGTACAAATAGGAAATATTTCAGGATATATCGACACTCCAGATCCACCAACAATCATCAGTTATCTACCTGGGCTTCTTTACAAATTTAGTTGTAGTTATCCATTGGAATACCTGGTTAATAATACCCAGCTTGCTTCGTAAGTTCCCATTTTATTCTTGCTTTCTCAGATTGTCTCTATGTATGAGTCATTTCATATCCTTGAGGGACTTAGAAAGAGAGCAGGATTTGTTGGGAAAAGCCAAACTCTACCAATGTAATGGGAAACATATTAAGGGTAACATATCTATTTGTATTTCTGTCTATCTATCATCTATGTATGTATGTATCTATCTATCTATCATCTATCTATCTATCTATCTATCTATCTATCTATCTATGCATCCATCTGTCTATCTAGCACTGTCTATCTATCTCTATCCATCCATATATCATCTTTATCTAATTGTTCTCACCCAGAAGAATTAGAGTCATAGAATTTTTTTCCCAGATTAGAACTGGCTCAAACTAGTCAGGTGTCTTTCTTGATTTTTCCTCACTCCCTTTGCCTAAGAACCCTGGGGTGCTAAGTAGTCCTGAAGACTCTCTGGTGTTTCCAGCGTGTAGGGTATTTGGTAACTATGTTGTTGAGTCCTGTTGGGTTTCCCTTGCTACCATTTGCTTTCACTGTTGGAGTCTGCTGCTCCAATTCTCGGTCTGTAGCCTCTGCTGAGGTGTCACCTGCATGGACTGCAAGAATAGTCTTTTAATAGTCATGTATCCATTCATTATTCTCAAAGCACATACTCCAAAAGAAGGCCATATCCTTATTATAATATAATCATCTGGAGTGGTCAAAAATACTCATAGGTGCTTTTAATAACACCGTGATGATAAACTCTTTGGTCAGAAGCAAGATTATGGAAACAAGAAAAGAAAAACTTTCAGTCAAAAGAATATGGGTGCAGAGGGAAGTTATTTCTTTGTTCCCCCTAATACATTCCTGAGCTTCAACATCCATGGAGTTTCATTCATTATTCAATTTATTACACACTTGCTACATACTATACAAACAATGTTCTAGCAGTGAACAAAATAAGATAAATTCTCTGATCTCATGAAGCTTCTATTCTAATGGAATTAATGCAAATGTATTATCATTAGATTCAAGTTCTTATGAAAGAACATTTTTCTACAGAGTTCTCATATATGTAATGCAAAATGAACAAAAATGACTTTACAAATAGAAAGATTATAAATAACAGTTTGCCTTTACTTGGTCCCTCTTGCTTTGGGGTTATTTATCTTATTTATCTATTTAGTGACTTAAACAGTATATCCATTCCAGGCATAGTTAAAAGTTTATGATTAGGCTGGCTCAAGAGTTTTAATGCTTTAAAAATTGAACATTCAGGTATTGCTTTTAATTTAGAATCCCATCAATGGCTTCCTTTCTCTAAATCTGTTTTAGGTCCTCAGCTGCTATTTCTGTGAGAGAGAACAATGGCACATTTGTCAGCACTTTGAACCTGCTACTGTATAATGTAAGTTGATGGGTGAAGGACATTATTTTCTCTTTCACTGTCGTGAGGAGTCATTTATGTGAATGGCTTTTATATAAAAATCTGCTGAAAACCACATTAACCCTGTTATACTCTGGTAACACTGATCCATCATTACTACTGTTTTCACATATCTTAGTGATAAAGGTATATTAAAAACTTTATTACATTTTTGAAATTTGACGAATGATTTAAAGTTTGTTATAAATATGCTTCTGTAGTGGTTATTCCAAATGTCTATTTACATTTATACATGTGTATTTATTTATGTGCAGGCACACACACACACATGCGTGTGTAGGTACAGCCATGGTTAGGGTGAAGATTTAGGAAATAATATATTTTTGTGATAAAAAGATTTAAAAAGTCTCCATGGTACTTCTTTTGGAGACCTCTTTGGAGATGAATGTGTTAATATTTTCAATATGGGTTTTGGCTGATGACAATTCTGTCACATCTTAAATAATTTGGATTGACTACTTAACATTGTCTAAACTTTTGTCATGTAAATATCAACTGCGGCAGCAAAACGTGAAAAATACATGGATTTCTATTTATAACAGTAACATTAATCCCCCAAATGATATTTTCATGTTGATTAAAAATTTTTATTCATACATTTTAAATGCCTGATTTAAATATCAATTTTTCAATCTATCAACCAACATTTTTGTAAATTATGAATCTGATTTTGCTTTATTATTCATGTCATCATGGCACTGAGTTATAATTCATGCAACTGATTTAAAAGTCAGTGCTTTATACTTTGAATATAATGAGCTATAAATATTGTAGTAGGACATTTTCCAAAGGCATTTAAAAAAATCATGTTTATAAGTTTGTAGTCTGACACCACAGAGTTCTTAACAACAAATTAAAACGTGTTAGAATCAAGATTGCCTTTCCGTCCTTTCTAAACTTTCTTCTGCACAGAGAAACTGCCAGGTGCCTGGGTTCTATGACCCTCAGCCACTATGTGCCACTATTTGTTTCTGATATGGCCAGATACTTATTATTTTTGCGAGCAATACTCAAATAAGTAACTTTAAATTGGAGAGGTTCGATTTGTTGATTTATATGTGTAAGCTCTCTATAGTAGAATTTACATGGCTGGTGTGGATGTAATATCATTGGTTAAAATCGAGTGAAACAAAGATGACAATTCTTGATCTTGCATGAGTGAAAAAGATGTTCAGATGTTACTTAATAATACCATTATTTTTGTGAAGTTAAAACTATTCTCTCACTGAAAGAGCAGAAAATCAAAATTTAGAAGTGTGGATTTCAGGATAACTTTGTTATTAAGGTCTTTCCTTTATCATTAGAGATGGTATTGATGGTATTGTGAACCTGTTACCAACATGCTATAATCCTTCACAGAGTTTCTGGACAGTTAACGCTACATACAAGCTTATATTTTGTTGATGGCCTTCGTGTTTTAATTCTATGGTAAAAAGGTA